ATTGTATATAATATAAAAAATATAATATTTTATTAATTTTTTGTTGAGTTAAAATTATATAATAATTTCTATATGCATTTTTAAATTTTAAAAATAATTACATTACATTATATAATATTATGTTTTGCATAATGTGATGTGCATAATGCAAAATGCTTATCTTTAATAAGCACAGACATGAAAATTTGGCATAGGCATAAGTATAAATATAAAAATTTAATATTTATTAATTAATTATATATTTAATACTATTTGGTACTTGTGTTTAATACTTTTTGGCATTTTTTTGGCTAGCATATTGTGTTTGTCTATAAAGTATCTAGTATTTGTACTTATAATTATAACAATGCCTAACATTTGTATTTATGCTTATAATAATTTTTAGCACTTTTGAGTCTATAGATATAAGCATATCATAAAACATTGATGATTGGCATAGTGCCAATTTGCTTAGTATAAACATTTGCAAAGCTTTAGTTAAGAGTCTCAGAGGTATTACTAATCAGACTACTAGAATGAATTAAAAAAAAAGAATATCAAACTGATCTAATATACTAATAGACTACTTATAATTTTATATAGCCTATTTGAATTAGAAGTTTAATAAAAAGACAAAGATATACTAAAGTACTAAGGTTATGCAATGAAGTAAATGCTAAGATTTGAGTGAACTCTACAAAAACATAGTAGTTAAATAATATAACTCTAACTACTAATGTTGGTTCTGTCATAGTGATACTAAGTTAGTTATAAAAATAAATATAAAAAACTTTGAGAGATTTATTTTAAGAATAAAATAGTTCTAAGGTTAAGATAATAATCTAAGTATTTGGGTATAACTCAGTAAAGTTAATACAGATTGCAGATTTAAAGGATTTAAAATGGAACATCCAAGTAGAAGTGTTAAATATGATAATTAGTATAAAATCTTTAGGCAAACTTCTTAAATAAGTAATATAGAAAGTTATATATATAACTAATTGCATGTTCTCTTGTAGTAATTTATTGAATAATATTATCAAAAAAGTTATTAATAAAAGTTAAAAAACTAAAGAGATTATCTTAATATCAAAACAAATAAATAAATATATTCTATAAATTTTCAAATATTAAATATATTTATTTAATTACAAATTAAAATATAAAATTTTATATAATTACATTTTAATTCAAATGTATTAAATTGGTATATTATGCTTAATGAAATGACTAATAATTAGTATAAACATCTTAATTAATATATATATTATAAATAATATTATAAATAGATTATATAATATATCTTATATAAAAGAAAGTATATAATAAAAACTTTAAGTTCTATAAAAAAAATAGTTATGTTTATTATTAATTATATTTGTTTTATAATAATTTTTTGTTTTTGTCATATTATAATAATATTTATAATTATAAATTTTCTATTTACCAAATATAATACATCTATTTTGACTAAGCTAATTTATAAGTTATACAATATATTTAATTAAAAAATAACTGACTTATTATTTAGAGTTATTAATATATATATATAATAAAATTCTTTTATTGTAATATATAATCTAACTAGTAATGTATCAGTTATAACTATTATTATTATTTTAATGACATCTTGTAAAAAATTAACTAAGTAATTATTTAGCTAATTTGATAAGTTATAATTTTAATTAATGTTTATTATTTACAAAGATAATAATAAAATTTTAATTTAAGTGTAATTAGTAATTTAATATTAATTATATATTAATATTTTTTGCAATAGTATTTTTTAAATGAATAAAAATCAGATTTTATTTTTAGCTATAAAATATTACAACTCTAATTAAAGTTTTTATATAGTTTTTTTTTATTTTATTATAATTAGTTTTTATTTTTTAAAAAATTACTTTAAACTATAAAATTAAATTAAATTTATTGGCCAATCTGACAAATTTCTAACTATAAATCTGAACAATTTGTTAGAGATAATATAGATGACTTCTTGAAGGTAATCTGAATAATTCAGGTAAATAACTAACTTGATTTTTACATAAGTAACTCATGGTTTATATATCTAATGAGTGTCTCAGTTGATGATTTTTTAAATAAGTCAAATAACTAATATAACTATTTTAAATTATTAATAAAAATATGAGCAAAACCTCACCTTAATACAAAAAAAAAAACAATAAAACAAGTAAAAAAAATTAATAAAAATCTTGTAAAAAGTTTTGATAAAAAAAAAAAACTAAATACAAATTCAAAATTATTAAGAGACTAATATAAGAAATGATTATAACAATATTACAAAATCTTATTTAAATTCTCAAAAAATTAAAAAATTTATAACTATTTGAACCAATACATAGCATAGAACAGCTTTTTTAAGAATATATTATAAAATAGTAATTAATTTAGAAAAAACAATAAAATTAACCTTGTAAATAAAAAAAATTGAAAAAAAAATTGAAAAATGAAATTACGGCAGATTGACATATAAGAAAAAAGAAGTTATTACAAATAAACAAAACTAAACCACAAAAAAGAAAAAAAAATAATAAAAGAATTAAAAAATCATTATTGAATTTAATTGTTGGTTTCATAGAGAAGAAATTAAGACTGTTTTTTTTACAACTCTAATGGCTAGCTTGATATAACCCTCTGACCAGATTAAGTTTCTGACCAGTGTAACAGACCACTCCTAAACACTTATAGAAGTAACTAAAGAATGTCAAACCAAAATTTAAACCAACCTTGTACAAATATGTATACAAGAATTTTAATAAAGGTGATCGGCAAGGCTGCCTAAAGAAAAAAAAATAAAAAATACTATTTATAAACTTTTTTTTTACTATAGATTCCAAAATTGAAACCTGGTTTTTAAAAGTGAAAATACTCTATGCTAGCGTGATTTATATATTCCATCATTCCAGATTATTTATATTCTAGAGTTATTGTTGAATTAAAAATAAAAAGAATTATTGCTAATTGTTGTATATTAAAAATAAATTTTATTAAGTTAATTATCATTGCAGCATTAAATAAAGTTGTTCTAGATATTGAAACATATATTACAATTTAGTAAAGCATTTTACAATATGCTATAAAATTTATTCCGGAGTAACAATCTGAAATAAATTATGGAATGTAATCTGGCGTAGTGACTTCCGACGTGGTGTGGTTTTGATGTAGTGGCAGAGTATGAACTACATCATTCTGGATTAGTTCATTAACAGTCCTATTTTTAGAGACCACCGCCAATAGTTTTCGTGGAAGCTGTAATTCTATTGAAATTGTCCATTTATTTATAAATTATTTTAAAACTTATAGATAACAATGCTAATTTTATCACACTATGTCATCATTGACATCCTGAGTTGTTTGTTTTTAATTAACAACATTATCAACATTATCAACCATTTCCATGAAGGCAGAAACTGTAGTTGGAGTACGTGCTAATGGGGGACGTAGTACTAAATCTTCTTCAAATGTGCTTCGACTTATTCTCTTATCAATTTCTTCGGGCATTATTTTATTAATAGTGCCTTTAAATGATCTTTCAGATGATTTTTCAAATGATTTTTTAGATAATTTTTCAAATGATCTTTCAAATAATTTTTCAAATGATTTTGCTGATAATTTTTCTGATGATGATTTTGATGGCATTCTAACTTCTCGTGAATTTTGGGTGATATTCGTGCCATCTTCAGGAATATTATTATTCTTATCACGACAAAGACAAACAGTTAACATAAACATGATGATTATTAAAATTATCAAAAAGACAAAAATCCATGGTTCAAGTTTATCTACGTTATCCAGAAAGGGTGTTGGAGATGTTGGAATCGCATGTGATGCTGAAATAGTCGCAGTAAAAAAAGATGATGTAGTGGGAAATTCGGGAATTATGGTGGCTTGGGAATTATCTATCACCCTTGTCAGAGTTGGTATCGTATCGGTAGTCTCTGGTACATCAGTGGCATCAATAATAATGGTTTCTGGATTTATTTGGCGTTTATTTAAAATTTTATGTGACGAATATTCAATACAACCATTGTTCTCATATTTCTTTTGTATCGAGCTTGCATTATGAATAAAAAATAAAATAAAAATTATTGATAATTTAACACTTTAATTCTTTGATCGAAAAAATTAGTTTAACTTACTATAGAAAACTTGTCGACATTTTCCACGCTCTGGAAGCAAAAGAAAGATATCAAGCAATTGAGAGGTGAAGCATAATATGTAAAGCAAGATATCATTATTATTTTTTGGGAAGCTAACATGAATTTATCCTAATTTATCTGCTCCTAACGAATCACATGGCTTGAAAGAAATATAATTATACATATTCGATTAATTTGTTTAGCATAAGTTTAGTTCCAAACTAAGGATGGTATTCTCAATTAAAATAATTAAAATTAATTTCCATGTGAGTTCAGAATACTCCGAAAGGTTACGAGATACGCATAATTAACTAAACTTAGTAAAACCAACATTGGAAAAAGTTTATATGACCGGGCATCAATTCCTATTTAATTCTATATTATTATACAATTTAAAGTAGTGGTGTGTAAAAAAGTTGGAGTTATAGGTCTCTTTCTCTTAGAGAAGTTAGTATAATGTCGCTGGGTTAAGCGAATATCTATTTAAAGTCTTATTTTAATTTCATAAAACAACTGGCATTTTCTTCCCACATAATTATCGTTACAGTTACATTGTTAACGTTAAGTATATATGTATGTAAGTGAATTTACTCTAACGTTAATAGTGAAATTATAGTAAACCAATATGGAATGTGTGACTAATCAGCTATAATTCCTAATCCAGTTTGGTGTATATATTTGGCCTGTACCATACGGATCCTGCTGCCATATAATACTGATCTGCGCAATTTATTGTAGCAATACAAACTTTTGGGATGCATTTTCTCTTAGAACTAGGAAAACAGAATCCGGAGTGCCGCTTCATATTAGTAAACGAACTTTCAAAATTGCTTAGCAGATCTATAAAAATGTAAAAGTTATTAACTTCTGTAAAATAAGTATTTAAGCAATATGAATTAGGTTAATACGATGTAGTTATATCATGATTAGTGATGTAAAGTATTGTTCTCTCGCACAATAGATCACAAAAATTTAAGTAATTAGTTCTCCTTATATCTTCAATTTTCAAAGCGGTTTGTAAACCGGCTATAAGAAAATAAATTAAACAATCTGAATTTTTTAAAAGTTACAAAGATTCTTAAAAGTTGATATGGCCTCGTATACCAAATGTTATTATATCTTGTAAATAAGTGCTGCATTTAAAACTTAAATTTCTGAATTTATTAAATGTAATACGTCATATACCAATAAATCGTTTAAACCTTAAATTCATAATACACATCATACCATCATACACAAATAATTAATACGAGGGATCTTTAATTTCTTCTCACAGTTCTAATTGGGCAGTTGTAAATGCCGTCTCTGATTGGACAATATAGACTACGTCGCCTTTCGTCTACCAATCAAATTATAAGATCAGTGTAACTTAAAATCTTTAAAAAAAACCTAGTTTTTCAAAAAGTGCTAGTAATTTAAAATTTTAGTTACAAAACCACCTTATTGTTTTAACAAAAAAATTCCTTAGTACAGTATATGTTCTATTAGGCCTTTATATTGTTTCAATGATATTTTCATTATTTGATCAAAAAGCAAAACTTTTTTTTATTCAATAGGAACTATGAAAGAAAATTAATAAACTTCTTCTAACTGCTAATTAGAGACACATAAATATTCTTTTGATTTAAAGCAAAAATTTTAATCAATTTAGATAAAAATTTTAATTTATTTTAATTTTGATTAAAATTAAGTTTTAAGTTAGTAACTTTGGTTAAAATTATAAAGATCATATAGTTATTTTAAATTTTGGGTTTATCATTACACTAAAAAGTTTAATTATATTAATGAAAAAAAAGCTTGATAGAAAGTAAAGTAGCAGTATAATAAAGAATAAAAATGTTATAAATAGTAAAAATAAGATTAGTAGAAATTAAACTAGATAGAATAAAAATAAATAAAAAATATATATAAAAAGTTATGCAATTTAAAACTGTTAAGTATAAAAATTTCTTTATACAGATTAGAGATAAAATTGATAAATATAACAAAAGCAGTTGTATTTAAAATGCAATTAAAAGAATTAAAAAAATGTTTAAATAAACAGACAAATAGTCTAATATAGTAAAGAACTAGTTTGATTGTATTAATAATAAAAAAAGAATAAAAGTGATTATATTTGTAAAAAGTATAAGAAACAAATACAGATTAAAATCAAAAATATAATTCAAATATAGGTTGTATCATCACTTCTAATATATTACATTTTATAAAATAAATTAAAAAGCTTATTAATAAATTTTTTTTTTTTTTTTTTTTTGCTTTTTACTAAGGCCATAGTTATCGGCAGCTATTGCCTTTATTGTATTTTAATTATGATTACATAACTTGTACAAGGTG